CTTTTCCAAAGGAATTGAAATCAATATCTCAAAGAGATACCTGTATTCTTATGTTTATTGTATCACTTTTCACATTAGGTATGGGAACAAGCTCAATGTCCACTGACAGATGAATGAATAAAGAAAATGTGGTATATACATGCACACTACTATATACATATAGTAGTGGACTACTATACAGCCTTAAAAAGGAAGAAAATTCTGCTTTTACAACAACATATATGAACCTGAGAGACAGTGAAATAAGTCACAGAAAAACAAATACTGTGTATATGCACTTATAAGTGGAATCTAAAACTGTGAAACTCGTAGATATAGAGAGCAGAATGATTATTACCAGGGACCAGGGGGAGAAATAGATGAGGAGATTTTGGTTAAGGGGTTTTCAGTTACAGAAGAGGAATAAGTCTGGAGAGTTAATGTACAGCATGGTGACTACAGATAATAATACTCTGCTATATAATTGAAATTTGCCAAAAGGGTAGATTCTAAGTATTCTCACCACAGACACAGAAAGATAACTATGTGAGGTGAGAAACATGTTAATTAGCTTGATCGTTTCACGATATTTGTATATAAAATCCTCAAGTTGTAAATGTTAGATCTACACAGGTAAAAAAATCTTGAAATATTTATGCTGAAGTCTATCTGTTTGGTTTAAAGAATCACTGACTCATTAGCAAAACTAATAATGGAAGTTATAGCAAAAATGACATTGGACAACATAATTTTATAAAGTTCTATTAAATTAGTAAAAGCTAAAACCGAATTCCTTCTGTATAGCACAGGGAACTATATTCAATATTTTGTAATAGCCTTTAATGAAAAAGAATATGAAAATGAATATATGTGTATATATATGCATGACTGGGACATTATGCTGTACACCAGAAATTGACACATTGTAACTGACTACACTTCAGTTAAAAAAATGAGCAAAACCTGAAATACAAAGCAAAATGTATCTGCATTAATAGAATTTCCTTTATGAGGTATATGTAAAGTTTGTGGGAATCAATAAAACAGATGTACATTTTGATTATTCTGTCTTCTGATCAACACTTCTCATATCATTTAGGAAATGAGAAAAGAGGTACAAAGATAAATGAAATCTGTTCAGATGGGCACAGGGTATATACCTAGTTATTATAACAGTTATTTCTTACCTCATTTCAGAATAAATTTAACAGGAGAGACCAATTATGTAAGTAAAAGTAATATGCATATTTTCTTTTCATCAGAGAATATGCTATAGTTGCACGACCAAAACATTTGATAAATCTATAAATGTTGCATTTGCTTTTGTGCACGTAAGCAAAGTGGACTGATAGGTTGAACAATTCAAAGTTCATTCGGACTGTGTAGACGAACAGTGTTGAAAAATCAGACAACCAAATGTTAATTTCTTCCATAAGAAAGGTTTTTATTTATCTTTTTGGTCCAAATTACCTATATTATTACTTAAATTACCTATATTATTACTTCAGCCCTCTCCTTTTCTTTGCCTGTGAAGGCATAGTTTTAATATATTTTATATCAAATCATAGCTATGGTTTTTAAAGACTCACTGTCAGATTTAATATGTTTAATTTAATATGTTTACTGTGCTTAGATTCCATAAATTTTATCTGCCATAAAATGGAAGCTTTTACATCCTTTACATCTCTTCTATATCAGCCATGCGTCAGGATAAATAACATGCCATAAAAGAGCAGAAGGCACAGTTAAGATAGAATCATTATGCAGGTAGATTATGGCCTGCTTTATATGAGAACAGCTTCCCTAAAGAGACCTAATGGGATGACTGACCTATAAAGCATTTAATTTGTTGTTAGCATTTCATTTGATTGCCTTGTAGTGCCTCCAGGAATAAAACTTTTGATTGTAAAAACTTCTAAATGACACAATGGTTTATTCCTTTTCCTGTAACTAACAGGTTCCCTCAATGGAGAACACAAAATTGTATACTATCATTTCATAGCTGTTTCTCTGGTATGGTTTCTAAACTCTGAGATAATGCAAAGATCAAGAGTAGTTAAATAGATCATTCCTTAACTTGTAAGAGCTTGTTTTAAGAAACAATTGCCCTTATGGTAGCTCACAGAGAAAAAAATGTGACAATGAGTGTTTATATGTCCATGTATGACTGAAAAATTGTGATGAACACTGGAATTTGACACAACATTGTAAAATGATTGTAAATCAATAAAAAATGTTTAAAAAAAAAAAGGAAGAAGTGGGAGAAAAAAAAAGAAACAATTGCCTTATTGGTACCCACACAATTCTGATTACAAAAGAGAAAAATAAGAATATAGAGAGGACACAATTTTTCATTAAGAATATAATGAATTTTCCACTTTGGAACAGAACGCCTTCTGTAGTATGGAATAGATAGTATAACATTTGATAATAAATAAGATGATAAATATATTGGAGGCCAATCATGTTAAGATATTTCTGGCTGTTAATACAATTTTTAAAAGAGTATTAGCCTGTTTTCCACAGAGTTTTTCTATACATATTTGGAACTATAC